GATTCAAAGAAGTCAGCGTAGTGTTCTTGCAAAGCGCATTTTCCAATGCTATTCCTCCTTCTGATCCAAGATTATTAGCTTCAAGACTCAAATCTATCAAGGTAAAGTTCTTGCAAAGTGCATTTGCTAATGCTTTTCCTCCTTCTGATCCAAGATTAGTATATGCAAGATTCAAAGAAGTCAGCGTAGTGTTCTTGCAAAGCGCATTTTCCAATGCTATTCCTCCTTCTGATCCAAGATTATTACATTTAAGATTCAAAGAAGTCAGCGTAGTGTTCTTGCAAAGTGCATTTGCCAATGCCTTTCCTCCTTCTGATCCAATTTTATTTTCATTGAGATTTAACTCTGTTAAGGAGGTATTCTTGCAAAGTGCATTTGCCAATGCCTTTCCTCCTTCTGATCCAAGATTATTATCACTGAGATTTAACTCTGTTAAGGAGGTATTCTTGCAAAGTGCATTTGCCAATGCTTTTCCTCCTTCTGATCCAAGATTATTATAACGAAGATTCAAAGAAGTCAGTGTGGTGTTTTTGCAAAGAGCATTTGCTAATGCTTTTCCTTCTTTTGATCCAAGATTATTATGATAAAGAAAACCAGAGAAGTCAGCGTAGAGTTCTTGCAAAGTGCATATGCTAATGCTTTTCCTCTTTCTGATTCAAGATTAGTATCATAAAGAACAAAAGAAGTCAGCGTAGAGTTCTTGCAAAGTGCATATGCTAATGCTTTTCCTCCTTCTAATCCAAGATTATTATCACCAAGACCCAAAGAAGTCAATGTGGTGTTATTATAGAGTGCATTTGCTAATGCTTTTCCTCCTTCTGATCCAAGATTATTATATTCAAGATTCAAAGAAGTCAGCGTAGTGTTCTTACAAAGTACATCTGCTAATGCTTTTCCTCCTTCTGATCCAAGTTTATTCCCATTAAGATTCAAAGAAGTCAGCGTGGAATTCTTACAAAGTGCATTTGCTAATGCTTTTCCTCCTTCTGATTCAAGATTATTATATTTAAGATCCAAAGAAGTCAGCGTAGTGTTCTTGCAAAGTGCATCTGCTAATGCTTTTCCTCCTTCTGATCCAAGATTATTACCATTAATATTCAAAGAAGTCAGCGTGGTGTTTTTGCAAAGTGCATTTGCTAATACTTTTCCTTCTTCTGATCCAAGCCTATCCCAACCAAGATTTAAAGAAGTTAGCGTGGTGTTCTTACAAGTGCCTTTATTAACTCGTTTAAATTTTCTAATCTGCGCTTGCTAGAAAAATTCCAAGTTGAAGCATTTTTTAGATCTTCGGCATTGTACTGGTAATGATCAATAATTTCTTCGTAAAATTCTAACGCTTTGAGAAATTTGCCTGGTTCAAACACTCATATGCTTCCTTTCTCATATTCTCAAGGCTAAAATCTTGCGATGAAATATTTGAGTTTATCGTATCAGGTAAGTAAAGTGGAAATGATGTAGTAACTTCAAATGGATTTATCGTATCAAGTAAGTAAAGTGGAAATGATGTAGTAACTTCAAATGGAGTTATATGTGTGTTTGTATTATCTTGATAATATGAGAAATTTTCGCTATTTTGAGCTGACGTTTCAACGGAATAAAGTCGATCCAAAATTATCCCACGATTATTTAAAACATTTGAATTATTTTCTCGATTTCAAATAAATTATTTAAATCCGCAGCCGATTTTAATGTGTGATTTGGCTCTATGTTTAATGTTTTATCCATATGCATAGGTGATCCTTGTAATGGTACAGAATAATAATCTTGTATTATAAAGGAATTATGTGTATGAATAATTTCTAAATCATGACTGTTTATATTTTGATTATACTTAGCAATCAACGCTTTTAAATTAGAAACAATGGTTTGAATTTCTGGACGACTATTAGGCTCATTTTGCAAACGGTCTGTCATTGATCAATTACAAAAATCCGTTATCAAAATGTTATAAAACATCATGCAACATGAATCCGTCAAAAAAAATGGTATACCTTTATAAATTTTAATATATTTTTCTATAGGGCCGACAATATTTTCAGTAAATAGACTGTTGTTGAATATTTCTTGCAGAAGGTGGCCAATACTATATACATCATATTTTTTATAAAATCCGAGATACTTATATTTAACAATTTGTCCGTTTAACCTATTTGAAAGCCCATAATCTGCAAGTTTTATATTTTTATTATTTACAAGTATATCGTCCGAACACTAGTGAAAATAGATATTTTAATTTTAATAACAAATTTTTTTTAAAAAAACAGTACAGCAGTCTGATTATATTTTAAACATTACCAATCCAAGATTAACTATTCCTTTAGCATGTAAAAATCTAACAGCACTTGCAATTTGCAGTGAGAATTTAATCATATCATTCCATGAAAGATGTTGTGAATTTTCATGTAAATATGATCTTAAAGTTCCACCGTTGACGTTCTCAAAAAAAACCAACATATAAGGTATAATTCTTGAATCTCCTTCGTACACATCAAAAAAATATAATGATTAACATAGAATTCATTTTATTAATGAAGAAACTAAGTTATGTATTATTCTACCTTCTTTTCTAGTAACACCATTGAATCGTAGAATGTTAGGGTGTATATCAATTCTATGATATAACTTAAGCTGTGCATACGATAATAATTAAATGACATATTTTAATATTAATATAATAACAAAATATGACCTGATGCAAAATCATAGATTACCTCATTAATAACTTCATTAATAGCTAGATTATTATTTTCGAATGATTTTAATATAACGCTAATTTTATTTTTAAAAATAGCACGATACAATTTTGTAAAACTCTCGCTAATCAATTCAACGTTCCTAAAACAAGTATAATCATAACTATTAATATTCTTCTCAATAATATATTTTTGAAGTTGTTGAATTGGGTTGCTTGCTGCACTCATCTTAAGTTCTCTCGGTAAACAAATTGAGAATTACATTTTTAGCACCTGTCGCGATATGAATTTAACGACTTATGCCAGTTGCACAATCGTCACTCTGTATTAGGGTGTCCAGGATTATGATTCATCATAATATGCGCGAATTATGCATTGCATAAGTCGCATAGTTTGGGTTTCACAAAATATCTAAAGGGCTTTGTAATTTATCGCCATAGCGATAATCACTAGTCTATGCAGAGTTTCATAACTGTGCTTACAAATCATTAATTTGAATGATTTGCCGCATAGACTAGAGATATATCGCTATGGTGATAAATTATAAAATCCATTTTTACAATTATGATGAGACTGTTGAATAATACGCGATAATGCAACTTCAATATGTACTGTTAAAAATAATACTGTATACTCAAGATATGTATTTCAAAAAAAAAAAAAAAAAAACCAACCATTAAGTATATGTAAATATAACAAATGTGTGAAAAGTAGTTAATTTTTATCTGATTCTTTGATAGACAGCGACAATAATCTTAATTACCATAATATTCTAAATTTCTATAATGCCAAATTCTATTTTCTAATATGGTTATTTTTCCTTCAATAGGAATTTGATTGGCAGGTAACGAATCGGCTTTTGAGACAAATGGCATGTTAAATAAATACACATAGCTATTTTCAACTTCATTAATAAAATGGAAGTTTGATTGAACTAAAAAATTCAATACAAACTTTTATGACTTAACAAAGTTTGTTATTACTTGGCTGTCAAAAAACGTGATGTAAATTCCGCTTATCAACCCTATCAACAAAAATGAAGTAAATACCATACATTCAAGTGTTTAATTTTAATAATGAATTCATTTACAGTTCAACCAAAACCACCTGCACTCCGAGGGCAATAAGAACTGTATGCAATAATAGCAAGAAAAAAAAGGTAACTATTAAACAATTAAAATGATAAGTATTAAATAGTTTATATTATGTTACAACTTTTTCGGATTGCACATCATGAATGAACTACTCGGAGCAACATTAAAATGACCATGAAATTGTCAGAAAAAACATTTTGATTTGGAATATATCTTATTTCACATTCAAAATACAGTATATTATGATAATTAGGAATTTCCGAAAAGTTGCAGTATTATCATGAAGTAAAGTAGTTTGAATAGTTTACTTCGTAAGTTAAATCTAAAAAATTTTTACATTTTATGAAAATAAATTATGGATGCTACGAAGATTAACAATAATTGACAAATTTTGAACACCAGAAATTGCAATTTAAGTATTTACAAATCTGCGGTATTTGCTGCTTTTCCTCTCTATAAGTGTTTAAATTCTGTATTCTACTGTTACCAATTAGTATACTTTTAATCAAAAAATCAAATTGTTGATTGTTGTTACTCATAGATAGGATGCTAATCGACTTGTATTTACTGTATTATTATATAAAACCCGATTAATCAATAGAGTTGATTGAGTCATTAGCATCCCTACTCATAGGGATTGGAATAGCTTAAATTTTCTTAACCGTTTAATTAATTGTATTAACCGTGATCAATATAATTCGGCCCAGCACTACGAAAATTTTTATGCGGACCAATTCCAACTTATTACAATTGGATATTAATCATAAGGGAAGTCATTAGTAATATTATTTACATACATACATACGTATTAGTTTTTTTTTACATCTATGACCCAGGAATGTTGAATAAATTGGTACAATTGTAATAAGTGCGCGTTAAATCCAGTTATTAATCATTAAAACACATTTAGTTATTTTTATATTGCTTTCACTACTACATCTTTAGTAAAATATATGCAATCTATTGAAATCAGTTATGTTATAAAATTGGATATGACCTAAGTGGTTAACGTTGCCTATTAGTGACGATTTGAATACTAAGTTGTTTCAGGATTAAAAAAAAAAAAGCGGCATATTTAAAAACAAATGGGTGATAATGAAGTTATAACAAAATTTTAAATTGTAAATCATTAAAAGAAGAGCCGACGCAACTAAAGTTGAAGCTTCGGTAGTTGGTCAAATTTTTTTTTTTTTATTATGGTCCGGTGCGAAAAGGTTCGTACCTCAAAAATGTATTTAATTTTTAGACTTAATTAGCTTAATAATTTCAATCAAAATGGTTCTAATTTTGTTATATAAAACGAGTGCTGTCAATAGAAAACCTATCATCGGGCTTTCAATGTTCAGTTGGCTTTCTGCATGCAATCTATGGGCGATCTATTCCGATGATATGTTGTCCATAGACGGCATACAGAAAGCCAACTGAACATTGAAAGCCGATGACAGGTTTTCTAATGACAGCACTCAAATAAAGTAAGTTATAATTTATCTTTTTATATAATTATTATTATTATGATATAATTTTATTTTAGCGATTTATTACATTAAATTTCTTAAATTGAATAAAAAAAAAACGTTTTTTTAAAAAAATCTAATTTAAGCATTTTTGAAAAAAAGTATAAAGTTTTAGAAGTTTGTACTATGCAAGTGCTTTAGTGTGCATATAATAAACATATTGTTAAAATTTGAGCAAAATTGAATCACTGGTTGCTAAATAATTAGTCGTTAAAGTTAGACAATTATATTTTTTACTATATAAAATATATAAAAATTACTATTAAATAAGTAGCTGCGCGACACTGTCGCGCTAAACCAGGAACGGATGATAACTTCAATACAGAATAGTTATATAAGC